AATGCATATACATATACATATACATATACAGATACACACACACACATATTTTATACATATATAAATACAAATGTAAATGTAAAAATAATACATACATACATACACATATATATATATAGATACATTTACATATATATATATATATATATTATACATATACATACACACATACAAATGTGCTCCCCGTACAAATCAACTGCAGTATGCATGTGCGCACTACAAAATAAAAGCATACCGAATCCAGCACACTACTCTTTCGACTGGGTCTGCGTTTGGCAGATGGCGCTTGCTCAGGAGTGATGTCGTACTGCAACGTTCGATAAATGAAGGATCACAAACCAACAGGATGAGTACACGAATAAAAAACAGGATTTTCGAGCGCTGTTTATTTTTTTGATAACGGGACATGCGTGCTGTCCCTCTCTGGGTTGCATTACTATTTTACAATAGTTTAAGCTCGCTAGCTTACAAGTTGGATATATATATATATATGTGTGTGTGTGTGTGTGCATGTATGCATGTGTGTACATATAAGCACGTAGACGTGTAGATTTATATGGGTATTGCAGGAAGCTTCAAGCATAAAAGGCCGCATCGCCATTACTAGATAACCATTTGACTGAGATGATCAGGCAGCCGTCGAAGCAAAATGTAGAACGAAGCACACGCGTTTTACAGCGCTTGGTGCAAATGTCCGGTTTACTTATACATTCATACACAAACATACGCTTAAGAGTGTCTACGTACCTTGAACGTATCTGCAGAAGACAATACGTATCTACACGTAGACACATGACACACCTTAAGATTCTCGACAAAGGCTTCGATCTCTTCGCACACACACACACACACACGAACACACATTGACAACGACAATAGCCCTGCAGACACACCTTAAGGTTCTCAACAATGGCCTCGATCTCTTCGCACACACACACACGTGCACACAAACACACATTGACAACGACAATAGCCCTGCAGACACACCTTGAGATTCTCGACAAAGGCCTCGATCTCTTCGCACAGCGCCTGTGTGTCGTCAGGGCCTGCTTCCATGTGCACTGTGCCCAGCCAATCAGGGATCTGCGTATCAAACCCCTTCACCTTCTGACCCGCTTGTACAAAGTACTTGAATCCTTGCACCCTGTAGGTGTGAGAGAGTGAGTGTGAGAGAGAAAGTGAGAGAGTGTATGTGTGTGTGAGAGAGAGTGAGAGAGTGTGTGAGAGAGAGAGAGAGAGAGAGTGTGTGTGAGTGTGTGCGTGAAGGAGAATGAATGTGTATGTGAGAGAGAGAGTGTGAGTGAGTGAGTGAGAGAGTGAGTGAGTGAGTGAGCAGGTGTGTGTGGGAGTGTGTGTGAGAGAGGGTGAGTGAGTGTTTGAATGAGTGAGTGAGAGAGTGAGTGTGTGTGTGAGAGAGAGAGGGTGAGAGTGAGTGTGTGTGAGTGAGAGTGAGTGAGTGAGTATGTGAGAGATAGTGAGTGAGTGTGAGGGATAAAGAGTGAGTGAGTGAGTGTGTGAGAGAGCGAGAGAGAGAGAGTGCTTGTGTGTGTGTGTATGTGGGCGTCCTGTAATGTCGTAAGTAAGGGTATATTCTCGCTCAAAGAGAGGTATAACTGAGGTAAAGATCCATGGGTGACCCTATATGGCTCTGCATACAGTACACACACGCTCATATAACCCAAACCCTAAACCACACAACACCCTACTTGTCATTCTTCTCCTTCGCATCGTCCAGGAAGTCACATGTCTCAATAGTACCAGTGGTGGGGCAGTTAATAAAGTATTCGGCACAGCTCATAGCCAGTGAATCGAACCGCGGGGGATTGATGGGGATACCCATCATACTGAGAAAATAGTTCTGAGCCAAATCCACACCCCAACACTTCACATTGAACATGTTGGTAGGTCCTCCGCCCAGGCGTGGGTTGCATTCGATCAGCATGGGACCGGTTGTGGAGTAGATGGCCTCCATATGGAAGCACCCGTTTTTGAAGCCCAGGGCCGTTACACAGTCCTTGGCGTACTGGGGACCGATGGTGTTGGGTTGGGTGGTCATAGGGGGTTTTATATGGTATGAGACAATTGTACCTTAACTAAGAGGAAGGATAATACCGAACTTTGTAGATATTCACATAGGCGGGCAGAGTGTATTCAATACCACTTGTGAAGATAATTGTATTCTTATCGTTACTTAAAAAAATTATTTCGATTGGATGTTTCTTAACTGATGAACAATGTAAATATATACTAAAACATATATACGTATACGTAAATACGTAAATACGTACATACATACGTACATGCATACACACACACACACATATATATATATATATATATATATATATATATATATTATACATACACACATACACATATACACACACACACAC